GGGGGGGCGTGCATGCGGGGGGCTGATCACTTTTTCGAGGCTTCAGAGAAATACTCCAAGGACCCAAGCGAGGTGAGCTTTGCGCGGCAACGATCAACACGGCTGCGTTGCACTGACACTCTGTCTTGTGCCCCAACAGTACGCTGCGGATGCTCAAGTGGGTCTCAAGCCGCTCATTGACCAAGCGCTGGCGCTGAGTCAGCTGCAAAAACACACTGGTCGCGACAAGGTGGGTGCGCGCGGCGGCAGCAGTGTCGTTGTGGTGTCAGCGCTGGCATGGTGCTCACATTTGCAGTTTCGACTCGCAGCCCACCGTCATTACTTGAGGGGCAAAACACGCACGGCAAAACACGCACGGCAAGCTTGGCACTGCCTTTACACCCTCTCTTGTCGAAACACCGAATTCAATGGTATGCGGTCGCAGAACGAGTCGCTGCCGAAAGGTGTGAGGTTTGGGCGATTTGACCGTATACGCGCAGTGCAGCCCTCAGCCCAGCTGCTGCGGCAAACTGCTTCCGAGACAGCGATTAAAGTAAACAAGCGGCGAGGAGGTGGAGAGCGGGCGACGTATGAGGTGCAGGCTCAGCCCGAGCGCGTTGCCAAAAGCTGAAAGGGTGAGATGCGGCGAGGGTGGTTGGTGCAAGCGCGCGCGATGCATGTCGGCTTGCGCTGTGCGTGAAGCATGCGCCTTGAATTGCCTCAAATAGTCGCCATCAGCAACAACCGCGCCCCCCCCTTGGCTGCCACTCACGACTCACGACGACGACTTCTTCCATCCCGCGCGCTCCACCGCATTCTTGGAGAGCAGACATGGCAACAACCGCAGCGACGCTCTCTACCCCCGAGGCATGGCGCTCGGTACAGTCTCTGGTCCTCGAAGCATGGCTCTCCGCCTTTCAACTTTGGGATCTTCTCGTCTGCGTGCCGGCCGAAGTCAGGCATCTCTACTGGCCCGAGCTTGCGCGTTGGGTGCGCAGAGGTCAGCGTCCGTCGCTCGGCAGCATCTTGTGAGTCCGAGTGGTGCAAAGTGTGGTTCTGCAGACGCTTGCGTTGATCTGATGACGCGCAACCGACCCGGCCCAGCCTGCTCAATACTCGACTCTTGACGCTGCCAATCATTGCCATGAGCGCCTACTCGTTGGGTCAGCCGCACAAATGCCAAGTCAGCTGGAGCGTCTGGTTCACCCTCACCGGTCTCGCCCATACCAATTCTGCCGCCATTTTTGCCGTCAGGACCATCGTGAGTTGTGCCTGCCTGCCTACTTGCCTGCCTGCCTTGCGCGGATGTGTATGTGTGCGTGCGAGCGCGCGCGCGCGCGCGTTGACCTTCTTCCCCTCCTCCTCCTCCACAGGCCATTCGCTCGGCAGGACTGGTGCTCAAAACGATTCTCTGGATCAGTGTGCTCGCTGTGGCAGGCGCTAATTTGTGGTGGGCACAGACGCTGCATCTGGCTCAGGCACCAGCCACTGTGCCGATCGCGCCAACGTGCAGCGTGCTGCCAGATCAAGTCTCGCTCGCATTGTGGCTGCCAGACGCAGTGATACTCGCATTCGACACGCTCGTGCTCCTACTCACGCTCCACAAGGCCATCGAAGTGTTGCGTCCGTACGGACTTTCGCTTCAGGGGCTACAAGACTATCGCCACTCGAGCTCCCACCTCACAAGATACTTTTTCGCCTCTGCCATCGGATGGTACCTCATCAGCATGTGCATCCTCGTAGCCGAAGTAGCCTGGGCGAATACGCACCCCAGAACCGACATTTACCAAGGCTTGTTCATCCCCTTGTGAGTGGGGCCTGCCATCGTCTCTGTGAGCATGTGTTGAGCCTCGCTGGCTCGCTCGCGCTGACCCTTGCCAGCTTGTCAGCCACGTCTGGACTTCCGTCACCATCGCACCGCGCGTGCTGAGAGAGATGAAGCTGCGTCAAGCGCATGAGCAGCACTCGCTCCCTCAACCTTGCGTACATCCTCCTGTCTGCAAGAGGTGCGGCGGTGGATCATCGGATAACTCTAGCAGCAATTTGCCATCACTGTCACCCCGACAGCGCTTCGAACAAGATGGCGGCCACGCGCCATGCGCTTCACATTCCCGTCTCAAGACAGCCGTCACCACCGACTCGACGGCGTCGCTGCCGACCTTACCTCGCGCTGCACCGCCTCGCGCCGGACGACACGCTCGAGACACTTGGGACAGGGACACGACGCTCAGCATCCTCGATTTGTACCAAGATGTGCCATCGCCATCACCAGCATTCGTGCGCAATGGTAACGCAGTTGCAATTAAGCTCGAGCGATAGAGTCGCTTCCACAAAGCGCCTCACGGTAAAAGACGTGATTTGAATGCATGTGTACGAGATAAGCACGTTGGTGTCAGCACGCGCAGCGTCTCGAATTCTTTCTTTCTTTCGCTTCACGCGATGTTATATGCGAAGTGTCCATGGCATATCGCTTGCCACATACCCACGCAGCTGGTCCGACAAAGTGTATGTCTCCTTGGCGGCCAGTAATCCAACCACCGGATGGCAATTGCTAGAAGGGGTCCACACATGGATTCAGTCAAGAGTGATGCACACGGAGAAATACTGTCTGCAGGAGCACGAGACGAATCTTGGGGTGGACTTGGGAGGAAGGGGTGGGGTGATGAGCTCGTGAAAAATCGAGCGAACACATCTTAAGGGGCGCCAGTGCTCTAATACAATCGACTGGGACCAGGGCGAGGTTTGTGTTTGAGAACTTTGGCGGCAACAATCTCGGGAACAACTTGTACCCATTTGGTTGGAAGCAGGGCAAAGTCAACTTCGAGAACTTTGGCGCCAACAACCTTGGCAACCATCGCTTCTTTGGCAATGATTGGAACCAGGGTAATGTTGTCCTTGAGAACCTTGGCGGCGACCCTGTTTTGGTGAGTACCAGCAAGGGGGCTCTTGTTATAGCATTAGGACGGCACGCTGACAGTCTCTTGGCTTTGTAAGCACGCTCGCGTCTCTTGGCTTTGCCCAGGAGTCGCTCGCACTCTGACCCTTCATTCGTGATTGCTCATCAACCCTCGCGGGATCCGCTTGGTGAAGCATTGCATTTTTCCTTGCCACACACACACCGACACAAGTCCCAACAGCACAACTTTGCCCTGTTCTAGTCTCACAATTCCCCCTTGTGCAATTTGATTCTCTCAGTCCAATTGACGTGTACGTGTACTATACACATCTCTTTCTCCAGACAGCACTCCGACCCCAATCTTTCCAAGTGCGAGTGCATCAGCGCAACCTTACTGTGTACTGGAAGCTTGATGCGACGGGCTCGAGCAGCGAGACGCAAGAGCTTGAGACAGGACGTTTGCGTTGCCTTTGTTTGCTGTCCTGCAACCACAGCGCTGCTCTTTGAGACCAAGAATTGGAGCAGGGCCTCGAGACGCCTGTCTTGTTGAGAGTGCCTTTTGGTAGCAGTTGTTGCTGCCACCGGCTTGTGCCGATCGACACCTTTGATATGGAGGGATGTTCACCAGCTTTGTTGCCAGACTCCTGGGTGTGTGGGAAACGACAGATCAAGCAGTGCAAGCATCTCTCCTTGTCCATATTCATTGCCAACGGCGGTTGCTCTGCTTGACGACGATCCTCTCTCACAAGATGATCACTGCGCATTTCGCGTATCCACTCTGCAGAGGTGCGGGCAGATGTACGCGCAAGAATAGGTGTAGTGCGGCGGGTTCTCCCTGACATGCAAGGAAATCTCTCGCCTGCAAGCGGGCGCTTCTATAGGCGGAACTACTCTGTGATACTTCAATCATCTAGGCGCTCGTACATCTGGCTGGCTGGTAGACTTTTGACCTTGTGCACAGCCTGCTCAGGCAGCAGCTTCCGTCACTGCCAATGGTCAGCCTTTCCGGCCTGAGCGTAACGGGCGCAGTATTGATTACTGTGAGTTGTCTGAAGCGCGCCACAACAGTTGACGCGACACCAATGACATACTTTTGTTGCAAGCCACATGAGCAATTGGTGGTAATGAGCTTAGATTGCTTGTGTTGACTCAAAGTCTCACTCATGTATGTATATGCACGACGCGCGCGTAGTCACATGCTCACAGTTCCCCCCGTCAACGTCAACGACGTCGACGATAGGACTTGAGCTAGGGAAGAGCTATGGTAAAGGGGAAAGGTGACACAGAGAACGACGGACAAAGCAAACAATTAAGACGGGGAGAAGCGCCTTGGGGCGCGACGCAGGCGCACAGGACGCGGCGTGGAAGACGATTCCAAAGGGTCGACTTCTTGCGGACGATCCTGAGTCACGACAGGAACCAAAGATGGATTGCAGGCGGGCCTCAAGAGGTCGATGTTGAAAACCGGGTGACCTGGCACTCCTTCAAGACGATAATTAGGCGGACTAGCCCAGCTGACCCGATGAGGGCCTGTGAAGGTCGGCGCAAGTTTGTCGGCCTCGTGGTCGCGCAGGTACGCAAAGTCGCCAACCGAAAAAAACATGAGGTTTGCGACGACTTCGATTCGTGAGCGTGGACTGAATAGTACGAGCGTGAACCATACGGTCGTTCGCCCAGTCCCGTAATACTTGCATACGCTCGGCCATGCCCGTAGAACTGTCGTGGGCCGGACCCACTGCGCCAGGAATTGCGTTGGGTGTAAAACCAAACAAATATTTGAATGGCGAGAGACCCATCGATCGACTGATTGAGGCATTGGATGCAAACTCCATGTGCGGCAACAGGTCGTACCAAGCAGTCTTTGGCCGACCACCTTCGGCCAGAGAAGCGCGAATGAGCTGGACCACGGACTTGATTGCGCGTTCGGCCTGCCTGTCAGTCTGGGGATGGCAAGCAGTCGCCATACAAAGATCAGTGCCAAGCCTTGCCATCCCTTGTTTCCAAAAGTCGGAGGTGAACCTGGGGTCACGATCAGACACAATCAAACGAGGCCATCCATGGAGAGGGTAGACGCGCCGCAAATATAGATCT